ATGGTTGTAAGTTAAGCGATGGTCTATAGTTTAATTGGGAATTCTATATACATCTAAACTTATTTTAGATGGTTGTAAGTTAAGCGATGGTCTATAGTTTAATTGGGAATTCTATATACATCTAAACTTTGTTTAGATGGCTGTAAGTTAAGCGATGGTCGTAACTTTAACCGGGAATTCTATATACCTCTGCACTTTGGTCATTTGATTTCTTCTGCGTATGTAATGAAACTGCTAACCGGCTTAATTGATGCATGTAATAGGGTTGTTCACCCTTGCTCCAAAACAATATACCGCGTTAAAATATAATTGACTCCTGACGAACAAAATAGACTTGAAACAACAATAAACCCCTGAAACACTTCATGACCTTTACCTACGCAAGAGACAATTAACCACCATAAAGAATCTTTTAAATTTTCTCTGTCGAACAAAATATTATTGTTCAAGCAATCTAATTTACTCGTACACGTTATAAAATCGATCGGCTGTTGTGTCAGCTGCATGCTTCTCTTGACATCATCGACACAATCGCCGTATTTTGAACGCTGTGCCAAGCTTCTTGCCTATTATATAAAAATAACAACGATTAACAGCAGCACATTTGTATATATGAGTGAACTAATGATCTTGTGATTGGTTTGTATGCGGTGGTGGCATAACAAAATATTTTTATCATTTACGGAGAATTGTGTGAATATAACGCTTTGTATTTACTAAGAACTGAACACAAAATTATTGTTTCCATTAATGAACGATCGGATTGATCGAATTAAGTGTACTTTACGGATTCCTTCTGTCCTCAAAATTACTCCAAGTCTTTCATGTCTCATTATATTTGAAATATACTGCAGTAGAATTTTTCGAGATTTCTATAAACATTAATTTATTCAGCTACCGGAATTAATGGATAATTTTCCGAATTATTTTCACTTCATATATAATTTCAAACATCAACGTAATGAAAATTTAATTTTATTTTAGCGAAATTAAATTCTAATTTCAATCATATCGCAGGATATTATATAAATACGTCCAATAATTCCGTTTTTCGAGTAGATATTTCGCTTTATTATATATTTCTGTGTCCTAGTGTTCTCCCAGTCTTGAAAGTGCATTTTAAACTAAAAATTCAGTTAGTCTCATAAGTTTAATGAAAGATCGAACCGGGAGCCAAACTTTGTGAATTTCCTTTAATAATCGTCAGTTTTATTAGACGTCTTGGGTGAGCTCTGGTGATCGATGTAGATTTTTCTTCAACGTAAATTATTCTCCTTTCAGTAAAACGATATTTTTCAGACTCGGTAAATAAAGGGATATGAAATAAGTCATTGTAAAATTGTATCTAATCGCAAATTTTCGAAAGCTTTTCCTATGAATTTAATGTTTAAACTTCAAAAACTTTCCTACAAATTTTATAAGAAACTTTTTTATTTTTAATATTTTCCAATTATTATCTAAATATTTGATTTCGAGTTTATTCTCCTGATGTGAATTTTATACCCGACAAAGCTAGATTTTTTGTTCATATTTTTTATTCTATTTGGAATACATATATGCAGCGAATTATTCATTTCTGATTGTTCAGTTTATTATGAATTATAGTAGAGTTGAACATATTATGAATTATGGCAGCAAGAACTTAGGGCAAGATAAGAAAAACTTTATCACTTTTCATCTTAAATTCAGAATGGAAATGCATAATCATTTTTATTTCATTCACATCGATAATTAATATAATTGAGTTGAAAACATTATTAAGTTCAACTCCAGAAACGTTAAACTCTTTTGCGAATCACGAATCCTTTTCCCTCTAGCATTTCTTCATTCTTATCCGATACGGTAGCTAAATCGCCTTGAAAATATCAATTCAATTTATTTGCAAAGGGAATCTTGAAATAATCCAAGGTCAGATAAATTAACTTTATTCAATGTTTTACAGGCACAATTGTTCAGTGTTCACTCGAAGGCTGTTTAAAGTAAATTATTTCGAATCGTCGTTTTGCATTTGTAACTTTGAATGATGATGTGAAAATTGAATGTGAGCGGGTTAAATCCAAAGACAATAATGTGGAAATTAAAAACCTATTTTTCTCGCGAAACTGATAGTTTTAGGTACGGGGACGTGAAGTCCAATAGTGTTCATGTCAATTGTGTTACAAGTAAAATTAATGTAACGGTAATATTTGTTTTCTGAGGGAGATATTGCCGAATGCACCTGCAAGTTGATTGAACCTGTATTTGTCAAATGGGCAAAAACGTTCTGAAATAAAGTAAGTTGTTCGTAGACACTTCAGAGAACTACTTACATCAACTTTCGACATTAACGAAGGATGCTTATTTCGCAGTGATCTCGAGCACATTCACATGAATCTTGAACATTAATGCGTTACATGCAAGCCCTTTTTAAAACTCACTTGAATGTATAAAATGTATTCCATCATTTTAGCGCATTTTTTCATTTATAGAAAAAAGGCATTATTGTGCTCGCCATGTCCGTTCGTCCGCCTGTCTGTCCGTCTGTCTGTCTGTCTGTCCGTCCGTGACTTCCCGTTTTCGTCGACGAGAAAATGCGCTCTCTACATGTCACTCACTGCAGTGAGTACTGAGTTATATTTTTTAAAACTATCATGGGTGCATGATGTGCTGAAATCTTCAGAAACACTTGAAATTTCCTCTCCGAGTCGATTCCGGCCGTTGCTCTGGTCAGATTTACTTCTACATAATCCAGTGGTGTCCTGATTATTGACCAATCGAAAGTTTTCTTCAGTCCTAAGTTTGTCTTTGTTGAAGCTTTGAAGCCAGACCAATGGATGGAGGTTTTAAATGACGATACTTGGAAAATCACGTAATTCTCTATATGATCGAATTGCTCGTACGATAACTGAATTCCAGTGACCTAATTTCCGCCCAATTAATTGTCTGGTGTAGGTCAATTGTCATGGAATTTCGAAAATTTTGTACAGAAATGGTAAAGTAGTAGTATTAAATGTCAAAATATTGGGAATGTTTAACTTAAACATCAAAATATCAGTATTAATGTTGATGGTTGCTCAGTGTAAATTCATGTCTGTTGAGATTTGAGGGTTATCAGAGGTATACTGTGTTTTACTGTGAACATTTTGCTTTTATTTTATTGCTTTGAGTTGAATATCTTTAATTATTGTGCATGTGTTACTTTATTAATTTCATAGGCGGTATCTTAAAAAAACTCAAATCCTGATTCGATCTTACTTTTATAACTTTTAAAATAATTTTTTTATCCTTAATCAATTTGTATCGAGTTACAGGGTTTCAAATTAAAAAAGCAAGTGTCTCAAATATTGCTTACATCCCCATTTAATTATCCCGAGTCAACTTGTATCGAGTTACAGTGTTTCAAATTAAATAATTTAAATTAAGTGTTTCAAATTGAAAGTTGCGAGTCTAGTTCTATTTGACCGCCGACCCTTTGGGAGCGGCCTGGTCGCACTTCCCTATAAATATCACACCTTATATATTGGAGCTCTCGTATATAGCCCTCGAGGATCTAATTCGCTCAAATGGAAGCCTTCTGCCTCGTTGACCTGTAATTCAACTCCAGCCTGGTATCAACGGTCGCGTTTTGTGCAGGAATTTTCATTAAACTTTTAGCGTCCGCCTCTTTGGGGATGCAAAACGGGTTCAAACCTAATATATGATACCGACGATCGTTTTTCGCGCTGATGATGAAATTCTTGAAGAACATTATGAGAATTTAGTGTGCTTTCAAATTGGCTCGGTATGTGTTCCTATGAAATTTTAATGGATTTTAATGATGCCTTTTGGCCATCTTAATAGGCTGTAATTTCGGGAGTTTATTTCGAGCGTCTAACTCTCAAACTAAATAGTAAAATTCACTATGCTAAACTTGTTCATTGAAATAATCCAAATTACTCGTATATAGTTTTTATACATTATATGTATCAGGTTTATACTTGCACTATGGCAAAGTAAGGAAAACTATACAATTTAATTTTAATAACGTCAAATTACATTCGACTTTACGAAGTAATAATTAATCATCATAATAATACACATTCTTCAAATCGGTCACAGTAATAATAAAAAATTTGGAACGTCCCAGCGTCTGATTTGGAGGTGCTTAGGAGTCGCCCCGCGAACAAATTAGAAGCTTTAGCCGTGCTTTAGCGTCCGCATTGCAGTACGAACATGTGATTCTACATTGAAGTTGAAAATGTTTTAGCTAACGCTAAGCCCCCATCCGATCGGATCTGATCAGCTTTCGCGACGCACGTAACAAAAAAATATAAATAAATAAATAATAGAGAAAGCCTCTTCCATGATGTAAGTGGGAAAAGGATATTATCGACATTTTAATGCATTATGTTGAAAGTTCTAAAGCGATTCTAACTGGATACCTTGCCTCATGTGCATTTTAACGATGTCTTTGAATTACGGTAAGACGCTTTATAGTGCACTGCCTATTATAAAATCAAGTGGATAACAACTTGTGCGCAATCTCCATAAATAATCATTGGTGTTAAGCCGTTTGCGCTTAAAAACCAATATTTGTCAACACTGGTAATATGGATGTATTTTTTATTCCATAGAAATAATAACTTCATCGATTCCTTTTTTTAGCTCTACTGTTGAATCCTCATGTTCAGACCCTATGTTTATTTACTCATCTTCAATTCCTCATGTGTGACGACTAATGTCCAGTAATTCATGTTTAGCTTATTCAGAACAATGAAGGGGTCTTAACTGGGTCAGAACAATGAACGGGTCCTAACAGTGACTAATGTTCATTTCTACAGCGCGAGCAGAGGGTTGGCGTAGCACCAATCGATATACCCTTTTGCAGGGCCAAACTGGTCTGGATGACCCACACTAAGACACAAATGTGCCTCGCTATTTGGACAAACTCACACTTGTTTTTCTTAGTTCATTGTCTCAACTGCTATTTTATCCGCACACTAAAAACCGTTCATTTGATCTCCGTGCAGCGATGACTTCTCCCGCCATGCTGCCTTCGTCGAGCCGGCCACCCGTGAAGCACAGCAACATCGTCCCTACGCTGTCCTTCAGCCTGCCCAGCCCTGAAGAACAGGACGAGGAGGAGAGAACTTCTTTTATAACAGGTGCGTGGCTCTTGATGTTGATCATGAAGAACAAGACGAGGAGGAGAGAACTTCTCTCATAACAGGTGCGAAGCTCCTATTTTCGGTCATGTATCAATTTTTTATTCAAAATTGCTTATAGTTTCATGGCCTATCTGGACCTGCATGATTATACTCAGGATAATGTTTTTATATTTTGCTGAATACAAAATAAGAATCGTGAAGTTAATTTGATTCGATTAATTATTGACGTTTATAAATTTATTGTAAAAAATATACGAGTAGTAATGATATTTAATCGATCAGAATCTCACTCTCAAACTCGTAATTACTTGATAGAAACTGCGCTTAATATCTCTGAAAACGCTTTCGTTGTTTCAAAAATTTTTAATCGTTCATCAAACACCTCTATTTTATCAGCTGATCAAGGAAAAATTTTGAAAACATTTTTCAAATGAGCAGATGAAACAATAGCAATAATGATCTTAAATGATTATTATGTAAAGTCATAACCATTATTTTTTCGCAATAAAAGCGAAAAATATTTTTAAACCTTTCAAAAACGATTGAAATCCTGACAATAAATCAACAATCTCGGAATCATCAGCAACCGTGATATAATAAATAAAAAAAATCTTGGAATCATCTGTAATCGTCAAAGAATAAATCAACAAAAATCTTGGAATCATCAGTATAAATCAACAAAAAATCTTGCAATCATCAAATTTTACTGAGAGACAGTTCATATTGTCTCGAAAATTTCTACCTGAAATATATGTCAGTGAATCTTTTTGCATCTTCCGACGGTTCAGAGATTTATCCGGAAAAGGTCATCTGTTAGGGAATATATTTGCGTGCCATGTTACCTGGGATTTACGAAGGATTTGAGACCGGAAATTGAGACTTGAGGAGCAGAAAGAAGTGTTCAGAAGCAGATCAGGTGTCGGCTGTCTTTTGCTCTATGTTTCCTTCTGGAGTATTATGAGAAAAAAGTATCATTATGCTAATAAAGTATTATTATGAGAGTAAAGTATTGTAATGAAAATCAGTATCATTATGAGAATAAAGTATTATTATAAGAATAAAGCATTATCATGAGAATAAAGTATCATTACGAGAATAAAGTATCATTCAAGATTCAAAACGTTCGTCAGAATAAATTCCGTGAAAATGTGTGCTGTAGCAGGTGCTATAATTATTGGAATATATTGCTAAAATTGTTGCCGGGATTTTTACGTTTGTTTTTCAAAAAATGATATTGTTAATTTATTTCAAAATTTTGATTCCAACTCAACTTTCATGATATTAAATTTTATTTCCGTGTTACTATCGATTTTTGTCACAATGCTTCTTCAGCCATAATTCATACATCATAAATTTTATTCTATCCATTGTAAACTATAAAAATTTTACTGTATTATCAATCTCTACTGTATTGTTTCATCAATCTATACTGTACTGTACTGCACTGTATTATCAATCTATACATCAAAATTGTACTATATCAATTACTCACTATACACAGATTCTATGTAGTATTTCCTATCTTCAGTTCATATATGATTATCATTACCTGCGTGATGTTCATCATGTTTTTGGTATTAATTTCATTTGTTAACTTCATTTCATCTATGATTAGACATTTTACAAATTGTTAATTATCATTCTATTCATCGCCGGACATTTTACAAATTGTTAATTATCATTCTATTCATCGCCAGATATTTTACAAATTGTTAATTATTATTCTATTCATCGCCAGACATTTTACAAATTTTTATCATTCTATCCATCGCCGGACATTTTACAAATTGTTAATTATCATTCTATTCATCGCCAGACATTTTACAAATTGTTATCATTCTATCCATCGCCAGACATTTTACAAATTGTTAATTATTATCCTTTTCATCGCCCGACATACAATATACAATTTCAATACAATACAAAATACAATAATTATTATTGTATTCATCACCAGGCTCACCATCAGGCCGTACATCGTCACCATCACGACGCCAGGGCCGGCCGAGCGTTAGTATAGACGAGGACCATGAGACGTTACCACTCATGATACGCGAGGAGGACGAGGACGGGGACGATGACGATGAAGATCACACCGACGGTTCTGACGTGCCACTCCTCGCTACCAGGAGCCACAAGAGATCAGGATCTGCAGTGTCCAGGATCCCGACGAGTCCTTTGGGCTCTAGGAGGTGTTTGCCGTAGCCCAGGGGCTGAATTTAATCACTTGTTGAGTACACGTAACGGCTTAAGCACACGTAGCGGCCTAAGTACGCGTAGCGGCCTATGTACACGTAGCGGCCTAAGTTCACGTAGCGGCCTAAGTACACGTAGCGGCCTAAGTACGCGTAGCGGCTAATGTACACGTAGCGGCCTAAGTTTAAAAGTGAAGGAGCCTCCGTCCGGTAGCGATCCGGGCGGGGGGGCCTCTGCCGTTTGGCCTGGCCCACGTGAATGCCGGGTAACCGGCCGACGCGCAGGCCAGGGTACCCCCACGACGAAGACGCGGCAGAGATCGTGGGCGCCTAAGTACACGTAGCGGCCTAAGTGCGCGTAGCGGCCTATGTACACGTAGCGGCCTAAGTTCACGTAGCGGTCTAAGTACACGTAGCGGCCTAAGTACGCGTAGCGGCCTACGTACACGTAGCGGCCTAAGTACACGTATCGGCTTAAGTACACGTAGCGGCCTTAGTATACATAGCGACTTTGGTGCACGTAATGGCCTAAGTACACGGAACGGCCAATGTACACGTAGCGATTAGTATACGTAGCGGCTTTGGTGCGCGTAATGGCCTAAGTATAATGACCTAAGTACACGGAACGGCCTATGTACACGTAGCGGCTTTGGTGCGCGTAACGGTCTAAGTACTCGTAAAGGCCTAAGTACACGACTACACGTAGCGATTAGTATACGTAGCGGCTTTGGTGCGCGTAACGGTCTAAGTACACGTAAAGGCCTAAGTACACGTAGCGACCTGTGCGGACGTAGCGGCCGATTTTTGGTCTGTTCTTGTGGGTTGAGCGTGAAAGCTTTCAGTGAATGGCTTTAGGTATTCGTCAATTGATGAATACTTAACTGCTTTTAATAGTACAGCCCCTGAACTGAATATAAATATTATAATGGGATTTGTTAGATTTTAAAATGATTTCTTTATTCTAAAATGAGATTTGTCCTGGAACCGGATTTTTTTATAATCTTTGATTGAAATTTTGTATTTTAAGACGGGATTTTTTTTAATCCGGAAACAATTTTTTTTTGCATTTTAAGACGAGAATTTTTTTAAACATTCACGCCGTGCCTGTCTTATGCTTTTTTTTAAGACGGGCACTGGATTTTTTATGCATGTTGCAAAGGCGCAAATGGCTGACGACGCTCGCACAGCAGAAATTTTGTTTTCTAAAACCGCATGCAATTCCTCCACGCTCACGTCGCTCGAAGCTTCTGTATGTATGACGTCTTCCCATGAATATATCCCGCGGACGCCACAGCGCTCGAGGGTTGCTGCGTTGCGCGTCGACCCTCTGGAGCCAAAATGACTCTCTTTTAGATCGAAGAAGGTCGACATAATTGCGCCGCGCATCTCGCCAGGTGGAGGCCACAGCAGCAGCAGCAGCAGGATTGCCGCGTCTGTTCGCTTAGTAGACAGGCAGCTGAAGCAGCCAAATACGTACCTCACTTCATTCATCGTCGAACCATTCATCGACGACATTCATCGTCGGGCCGCGTCTGTTCGCTCGGTAGACAGCCGGCTGGAGCAGCCAGATACGTACCTCACTTCATTCATCGTCGAACCATTCATCGACGACATTCATCGACGACATTCATTGATGACATTCATCGTCGAACCATGGGTCGGAGACTCGTTGGGGTACCCGAACTGTTAGTGCAGGAATGAGATCATCGAGTGCACAGGCCAACTCGGTGTTGTAGAATTGCACGAGATCGTTGACTCGGTGCCAACCATGAGTCAGGCCGACATAGTCGGGATGACTGCAGTTTTTAGCGCAAGACATGGCCGCCGAGACCGCTCCACGGATGACAGGTAACGGCTTTGTACGCTGGCACCGGGCGCACACATGGCACCGTCCACTGAAGTAGTCGATGGTCGGATATTGCGATCTCGATGATGTCGACAGGCAGACTTTGAAGGTCTGCACTCGTGATGACAACGTCCAGCAGTCCGCTCATGTCGTGCGTCGGCAAGGTCACGTGACAAACCATTCTGAAGGTGGACAGCAGGTCATTCTGCTGACGAGCCGATGGGTCCTCGACGTGATCCAGTCAAATGTTCAAATCGCCGGTGATAGAGACATGATCGGTAAAGTTACAAGTCTGTCTGGTGAAGACATCGCACAATTCGATGAAAAAATCGTTAGCCACAGCAACTGATCGAGGACAATAGATGGTGACCGCCACTCCCGTAAACGAGGCACAGGTGACCCTAGCACATAGCAGCTCAAAGATAGGGCCTGGCGCCGATGTCAAGAACGGCAAGATGCACACTCCTGCTGGCGACGGTAGCCACTCCACCATAATTCGTCGTCAGGGTGCCGGGTTACATGCGAGGCCGCGCGCGCTCGACTACTTGCTGTCTTTCGGAGCGAAGACGCGCGATGCAAACCCAGTTAGCGTCATGCCAGGTCTCGGACAGGAAGACGACATCTATTAAGCGTGAGCGACAGATTCGAAGAAACTCATCAACCTTGTTATTCAGCGTACGAATGTTTAGGCAGCCGAACGATAACCGGCGACACGGCTGCACACAGTGGTTATCAACACGAACGCTAAGCAGGTTTTGAGGACTACGGGTCAACAGGCTGATGTTCAGCAGCATACGTAGACGAAGAGTTCACCGCAAATGATTGACGATCGGTGTCGGAACAGTCACAGTCGCCCACAGTCAGATTTAAGGAACAGTCAGGAATTTAAAAGCAAAGAAAATAGCCAAAAATTTCACCATTTCTTATAAGAGAAAACGTTTCGGAGTCCAGCTCCATCGTCAGTTCAAAACCTAGAACACAGGTACAAGCAATTAGTAACCTAAAATTCACATTCAAACAATTCACCTAAACTTGAGGACATTAGAACTAAAATCGAAGATAACAGAAATAAAAATGAGATGACATGTAGAGAAAGTACTATCTATTTACAATTTGTAGAGGATAGGAACTGAATGCAGCATTTAAACTGGGTTTCTGTTTAAAAATATATAATGATTCTAAAATTCGTACGAATTTTAGAACCATTATATATTTTTAAACATATTTTTATATTTTCACATTCAAACAATTCACCTAAACTTGAAGACATTAGAACTAAAATCGAAGATAACCGAAATAAAAATGAGATGACTTGTAGAGAAAGTACTATCTATTTACAATTTGTAGAGGATAGGAACTGAATGCAGCATTTAAACTGGGTTTCTGTTTAAATGCTGCATTCAGTTCCTATCCTCTACAAATTGTAAATAGATAGTACTTTCTCTACAAGTCATTTCATTTTTATTTCTGTTATCTTCGATTTTAGTTCTAATGTCCTCAAGTTTAGGTGAATTGTTTGAATGTGAATTTTAGGTTACTAATTGTTTGTACCTGTGTTCTAGGTTTTGAACTGACGATGGAGCTGGACTCCGAAACGTTTTCTCTTATAAGAAAAGGTGAAATTTTTGGCTATTTTCTTTGCTTTTAAATTCCTGGTAAATTTGCGACTTAAGCAGCGATTTTAATACTTATAAGGAACAGTCATCTCGTCTACAGTCAGCTAAAAGCTGAAAAAAAAACAAACGTACAAGCTAGGCTACGAAACGTTTTCGAATAAAATATTGAGATTTTTTCTTTGTATTTTCTTTGTTTTTAAATACTCGCACAAAATGTCACGCGTAACTCATCAGCGCGTGATTCTGATACACTTCTGAGCAACTTAGCGTTATTTGACGGGGTGTTAAGCAACACCATGAAAAGGGAAAAATAATTATTCTCGTTTAATTACTAAAATGTATCTTTGTTGCTTGGGAACAGTCTTGTTTACGGTGAAAGTTTTATTGTTATTATTTATTATTAAATTTACTCCATCCATCTTTATGTTATTGTTCAGATCTATTGTCACATCGTTTTTTTGCGTCCTTTTCATGACGTTGCATAAAAATAACTAACATTGCGGTAATTCCAGCTAATTGGAAAACAACTCAGTGTTAACTAAGTACCAACGACAAAACAAAATTAATCACTCTAATCTAAAATGAAGAGTTGTTTTCGCGGCCCTATTATCCTGTTAATAAGGTCATTATCTGCTAAGTATTTTGCGCTTGGCTTGTTTTGCCAGAGCCGCGGCCTGGAGAGGTGGCGAGTGTAGAGCGAGTCTCAGCTGCGCTTCATGAATAAAGATTAACTCGCATAGAGTAGAGCTTATTGAGGATACGGTATAAATAAATTTGCTGAGGAATGGTGTTATAATTAAATTTAGTAAGGAATGATGTTAGTATTAAATTCACTAAGGCATAGTGTTATTGTTAAATTTACTAAGGAATGGTGTTATTATTAAATTTACTGAGGAATGGTGTTATTACTAAATTTAGTAAGGAATGGTGTTATTATTAAATTTACTAAGGCATGATGTTACTAATAAATTTATTAAGGAACGGTGTTATTATTGAATTTTCTAAGGAATGGTGTTATTACTAAATTTACTAAGGAATGGTAGTATTATTAACTTACTAAGGAATGGTGTTATTATAAAATTTACTAAGGAGTGATGTTATTATAAAATTACTGAGGAATGGTTTAATATTAAATTTACTGAGGAAAGGTATTATTATCAAATTTACTGAGGAATGATGTTATTATTAGATTTACTAAGGAATGGTGATATTATTAAATTTACTAAGGAATGGTGTTGTTATTAGATTTACTAAGAAATGGTGTTATTATTAAATTTATTAAGGAGTGACATCATTATTAAATTTACTATGGAATGTCATTATCATTAAATTTACTAACGAATTTATTATTATTAAATTTACTATGGTATGGTGTTATTATGAAATTTACCAAGTAATGGTGTTAGTATTAAATTTACTAAAGAATGGAGTTATTATTAATTTTACATGGATTGTTGTTGAACCAAAGTGACAACGCGTGTTTATGATAAATGATTGTTCCATTCTGCGAATCCTTGATTTCCGTTCAGTTGCATGAAATTTTAGAAATACTTAAACTCGATTTAGGTTAATAGTCTGAAATCGTTTTTTACAAAACATGTAAGATTGGAATATCCATCATATGAATCGTGATGGATATTGCAATTATATTTCCGCTTGCATGGATTCAACGTACATGAATAAGGGGTTTTTAACAGAAATTGGTGAACCTTCATGGGGACTGTAAAATATAAACTACATTACCGCATCCACGAATACATATTCGTGGTCGTGTTTCAAATATATGTGGTCGATACACGAATAAATATTCTTGTTACCGTATACACGAATAAAGATTCTTGTTATCGTATAAACGAATAAATATTCTTGTTACCGTATACACGAATAAATATTCTTGTTACCGTATACACGAATAAATATTCTTGTTACCGTATACACGAATAAATATTCACAGTCGTGTTTTTGAATTCAAACTGTTGCCTTAACACGTTGAGTGTGGGACGACCCACCCTTGTTACCGTATACACGAATAAATATTCTTGTTACCGTATACACGAATAAATATTCTTGTTACCGTATACACGAATAAATATTCTTGTTACCGTATACACGAATAAATATTCACAGTCGTGTTTTTGAATTCAAACTGTTGCCTTAACACGTTGAGTGTGGGACGACCCACCATGGTTGCCAGTTGGCCTGGAAACGGCCAAGTCCGAGCAATTAAAATGGCCAATAACTCAATATTTACGAGTAAATTCGTAGGTTCCGGTGCAAAAAATAAATTTTCATCTTTTTCGTACTTTTTAAAATTTAATAAGGAAATACCGACATAGTACATTTTCGCCGGACAACGCAATCAAAAAACTAAAGCGCGAACTATGTTAATGTCAAAGTGTTAATCTTACTGAATAAGTTGTATTTTACATGTGAATTTTCGGTCAGGGCTTCGGCGGCGGTTGGTGGCGCTTCAGCGGCCACCGGTGGCCAGCCATCTGAAGGCCTTGGCTCGACCATTGCAGAGTTCCTCAGTAAACGAAGTGCTGAGGAACAAACGTAAGTGAAATTGCAGCAAATGTAAGTGAAATTGCATCCTATACTGTTCACTGCTGAAACAAACGTCTTATATATGTAGGAATTACATATTTTTTTCATTTACTGTGTTCATTAATTAATTTATATTTATAAACACATTGTCATAAAAAATTAATGTTTTGTCAACGTTGGTTTCATATTATGGCTTGGAAAATATTTTTAGGAATGAACAGTCCTGAATCCAGTAGGAGTACAGCTCAAATTTGTCCTCCTGGGTAGTTCATTCAACATATCAGTTTGAAATTTAGAGACTTCGTTTTCTAATTATTGATAGAACATTACCTTGTTCACGCCATTGTTCTTTTTATTAATGCTGGAATGAATTTCTACACTTATTCTATTGCTATTTACAACACAAACCAACCAATAGCGCCAGATCAACCTTATTACTTAGCTTAGCATCCTACTCATAATTCGGAGTCTTGCAGTGTATGCTATGTTAAATAGCAGTTTATATGCGTGCTACAAGCCTACAACCTTAGTTTGTTTTTACCGTCTGTCTGTTTCTGAAGCATTCTTGAGAATGATAGAATCTATAGAATCCTTAGAATACTATAGAAACCTCACAATCCTATAGATATATCAGAATGTTATAGATGCCTCAGAATCCTATAGATGCCTCAGAATCCTATAGATGCCTCAGAATCCTATAGATGCCTCAGAATTATTCCTTGAATGCGTTATGAGTTTGGCATCACGGATATTACATTCTACCAGTTCTCTGGTCGAGCGTATTTACTAAGTTTAATTTCCCAAATACCATAATTGCAATATTTTTGTCCGTAAACTGAGGAATGTAATTAACATTAGTATAGTATAGTATCTTCGGCATTAAAGAATAGGCCTGGATAGCCATGTCAACATTAATCATATGCCAGCTGAGTTTTATTAGTCAGTGATTTGATTGGAATAATAGTCTCCGTAATTAAAACAATATTTTATTACACGCTTTGTTCGGCTGAATATTAAATAGGAAAATATTATAGATTCACATTTATTTCATGTATAATTTATTGATATTTGAGCAGGAATGTAGCGACGGCGGCTGCTGTGGTGCCAAGCCTGGTGGTGTCAGCGCAGCCAGAAGACATGATGAGTTTTGCCACCAACCTGGTCACTGATGCCGTGAGACAGGCTCAGATCAGGGTTAAACAGAGGGTAAGTGGGGCTCAAATTAGGGTAAAACAGTCTTTGTATTCCTGTCTCTTTTTTCATGTCTCTGTATTCAAGTCTCTGTGTCCATGTCTTTGTATTCAAGTTTCTGTGTCCAAGGCTTTGTGTTCACGTCTCTGTATTCAAGTCTCTATTCATTTATGTGTGTTCACGTCTTTGCATTCAAGTCTTTGCATCCACGTCTTTGTATTCACGTCTCTGTATTCCTGCCTCTGTATTCATTTATCTGTGTCCATGTCTCTGTATTCCTGTGTTTTTTTCATGTCTCTGTATTCAAGTCTCTGTATTCAAGTCTCTGTGTCCAAGTCTCTGTATCCACGTCTCTGTATTCAAGTCTCGTTCAAAGAGACTTCTTTTGTTCGTGAATTACGCCTCCCTTTGATGTCAGACTCTCAGTTAATTTACGAAACGGAATATTCTTCATCTGGTCAAAATTGCGAGTGGCTTATCAAATGTACGAAATGTTGAACGTTTTACGCGTTTTCTGGAGCATTGGCTCCTAAAACGTTGAAAACCTAACCTAATCTGATGTTCAATAAATTATAAATCAACAATCTCAGTTTATTTCAAAAGTTACTAAAGTACCCAATAGTGTTAAAAAAATAAGCTTTGGTGTAATATTGAAACTTTACGCCAAGAAGTTATATTTTTGTCGAATATTCGAGATTTACATATCTCAAAAGTTATGTATGACTATGAAGTATCTATATCAATTGTTGATAATAAGTTTCGAAATCATTGTAATTTATAAGGCATGTTAAAATCTAAAATCTATTTGTAAGTTTTCTCGCTTGAATTATTTTTATAATAAGAAACGTTTTTATTGATAAAAAACACTCAAGCGGCGAAAGATTTGCAAGACCATTTTTATCTGCTTATTTTTTTACCAAATGATTTGACTTTAAATTTTAAATTGTTTAATTGTGAATTTAACCTAAGAGTATCAGGGCATCAGGCCAACACTAAATCCAAGTAAATTAATGGCTAAATGTCAGTAATTACTTTATTCATACTTTACTTTGTAGAATGCGAAGGCAAGCAAGAGCGTTGAAACTTTTACGAAGTTCGTTCTCGACTAATGTTGTGTCTCAAACTATATCAAAACTTCTAGGGAGCCTATTGATCAGAACAAATGGAGTCTTTCAAGTCACGTTACCGGATACTTTAGTTACCCTTCACAGTCGCGTTACCGGATAGTTTATTTACCCTTCAGAGTCGCGTTACCTAATACTTTAGTTACCCTTCACAGTCGCGTTACCGGATACTTTAGTTACCCTTCACAGTCGCGTTACCGGATACTTTAGTTACCCTTCACAGTCGCGTTACCGGATAGTTTATTTACCCTTCATAGTCGCGTTACCGGATAGTTTATTTACCATTCACAGTCGCGCTACCGGATACCTTAGTTACCCTTCACAGTTGCGTTACCGGATAGTTTATTTACCCTTCACAGTCGCGTTACCGGATACTTTAGTTACCCTTCACAGTCGCGTTACCTGATACTTTAGTTACCCTTCACAGTCACGTTATCGGATACTTTATTTACCCTTCACAGTCGCGTTACCGGATACTTTAGTTACCCTTTTGAAGGACGCCTTAGTGGCGCGTTCAATAACGGTGTGAAGTCGGGGTATTTTTAGCCTTTATTTACCTCCGATGGAAGTTCATTGTTTCCTTAATTGCATCCATGCACGGCAAAGTCGTTTTGAACTCTCCCTGCAACCGTTTTAATTGGAGGCGCGTGAATAATGATCGTGAAGTTACATGTTAGGTTCATAAAATCTGCGAATGAATGGATTGCGTCTTTTGTTTGGCGAACAATGATGTTTGTGTTGATTCGTCGGATGTATTCAGTTTAATTGAGAGTTCAGTATTGCGTATTTGATTCGAAGCGCTTTTGATGAAAATGTTTTATAATAAGTATGAGTTATTTACAAACGGATCATAAATAGACATATCTTAGGCTGAATCAAAGCACTTATACGGCCACTAAATTTATTATTTTAAAATTTTAAATTAGAAATATTTTACAAATTTTATATTAATTTTAAACTTAAAGTCGTAAATATTATCTGCAAATTTTAAAATTGCAAATATTATCTGTATGATTTTTAGGACCCTGGATGGACTGTAAAATAAGCACCTTGATTTTTAGGACCCTAGAAATGTGATTCAAAATTCATAAAATAAGCACAAGAAAAATAAATACTTTATTGCGCAGGCTCGGGAATGCCCTGACTTGCGGGCGATGGTGACATCTTTTGTAGCTGAGGTCTTGGACGTCGCCAAGAAAGAAGCATACCGCAAAATTGCTGAGAAGAACAACATCAACAACGTTCAGAATTTGCCTCAAGTGAGTTCTAACGTTTAATATTTACACCGGTATGTGTTAGGTTTTTTTATTATTTTAATTTTAGTTTTACAGAGTATCTTCGACTCGATGGCTACTCTAGCGTTCTAAATTTTACTAGCATGTTTTAAATTTTTTAAGACATTGCCTTGTCGGACTCTCGTCAGTATTTGGCTTACAATGTTAGACAACAAAGATCATCTGCTGATGTCGTTTTCACCTGAATTACTTATGGCTTTTTTTCGTATGTGTTTCACGTTAGGGATTTTATATCAAGCAAAAAGTTGCTAGTACTAAAATTTTTGACCTCATGTTTTCTTATCTCGAAAAACTGTAGATTATATTGGAAATCCTGAAAATATGACGCAACAAACACCTCACCCTCATCCAAATGATACCTAAATTAATGAAGGTGATGGCCGAAGGGAGCGACGCGAACGTTTGTTGGTTGATGAAGCACGACTGATCTTCTGTGATGAAATTCTAAGCTACCATTAGTGCACCTAAATGAAAGCAGGCACTCTTATCATGCCGTTGCAAAACAAGCTGATATCCTAACAAAATTCGCGGAGCGCCTAAGCTTCGGCCGAATAGTCACTACACTCGGCGCAAAGTTATTCTGCGTCTACTTGGCCACCCGATCGAAATCAGTTTCTGGTCAGAATCTCCAATCCGACTTTATTGTCGCCTGAGAGTATGACAAGGGTTGGCCGAACCGAGTCATACCGAGCTAGCCAGCTGCCCAGAGGCTGTCCTTCGGACCCTGAGCCGAAGCTGACATAGAACTGATTTACTTGCTTCCCGAGTCATCTAAATTTTGTTAGGGTAGTCATAAAGAACAGTTTACGAGCATAAAAATTATCAAACTAAAGATGCAGAGCATGGAGGCAGTCCTGAGGAAGCTAACTAAATTGCCCACCCACGTGTATCAACAGATATCTAATAGAGCACTGCAACTTGCCTGCTCTCTCTACTTCTTATTCTACCATTATTTCTCACAAGTTGAGGAACTAACTGTTATTTTTTCCAGGGCCGTGGACTACCATCCGTAATCGGTGAGGGGATCCGGACGAACCCGTGGGTGCACCGCGCCGTCCGCTACGTCGGAAACATCCTGGACCGCATCTGTCCGTGCCGGAGTCCTTTCTTTAAATTGTAGGCTCATTATATAGACTATTATCACATGTAATACTGACAACTGAAGTAACTCAAACTTCTCCATGACATATTAAAATTGTTAAAAATATCCTCAACATTTTTTGCTTGCTTTAATGATGTTGTATCGTATTTTTATTGATCCTATCAGAAAAGGAACATTATTACGTGGGGGAATGAAATAGTTATACCCGTTTAATTTAAAATTATGTCGTATTGAATCAGTGATATTCATCGAGTTTGTTTCCGAAATTTTTTCTAGTTCACGAACCAATTATTGCAGCCATATTGCAAAAATTTATAAGACGCCGGTACCACAATTCACTTTCTTTCTTTATAGATAAGAAAGATTATATTTAAAATCAATATTCGGGTGCCGAAAAAAGTCAAAACAATTCGAAACTTTGTACCTTAAAGAAGTTGTGATAAATGTGCTAACATGTACACCGTCAAACATTTAACCCTCTACCGCCGTATGTCACTCTCCGGGAACATAACTTTCAACTTAAATTATGCGTAAACTATTGAGTGTAGCAGCCTGAGGACGTTTGTACTTTCAACTTAACCCTCTACCGTCGTATGTCACTCTCCGGGAACATAACTTTCAATTTAAATTATACGTAAACTATTGAGTGTAACAACCTGTGTAAGTTTGTACGCAAGAGAGAACATTTTAAAGTTGTCGTACGTGGCGGCAACCATCAGTGCAAGTCATTTTGCGCTCACTAGAACGTATCCTTTTTGGGAAGTAGGCGCGTGACAATATTGCTCCGGTTACTCGTGTCAGGCGGTAGAGGGTTAAGTTTGTCTTAACATATTTCGATTTGCGCCCAATATTATACAGTTATGGCTGAAGATATTTCGTCAACATGAATGTTTGGATCGCAAAATTAACATGACCGTTAAATGTTCCAGTATTATTTGGAAAATTGAAGTTAGTAAATGCATGGATAAGTGTAAAGATGTATTGTTAGCTGTAAAATACGGAATATATGTAAAAAACTTTGCACTGTCATCGTACCCTGTAGAAATATTCGTGGGTCAACAATCTATCTATATTGTTGGTTAGGATATAAAATTGAGATTGAAAGGTGGATTTATCTCCTATAGTTGTTAATTAGTGAAGACGCACGCACTGTAGATATTTATGCTTAGTTTAATAGAAAATGTATTTTTTAGTATTATTTAGCATTTAAGGGAGGGTTATAGTGAAACTTAGTATTTTTTTGTTTACGATAAAATTCCAGAGTGTGTAATTCTATTATTAGTGAAACTTCGTGTAATTTTAGCTCTATAAGGAATTATTTGCGTGCGTCAGTCCCGGTTATAGAAGGCTCGCTGTATTTATTATGAACTTAACGTAGAAGTTCGATTATTTTCTGTTGTAGGAATTAGATCGTCAGAGCAGTGCAACGCTCGCTCACTGAAGTGAGCGGACATAGTCGAAGTGTGGAGGATTCTGCTCTAAATAAACTTTTATTGAACTTCTCCATTGATATTCTTCCTAAGTCACGATGAAGGAACTTATGTTATACCCCAAAGTTGTATTTAAGTTCTAGATTGAAATATTATTTTTCTAAGTCACTAACTTTTGTTATGCCCCAAGGTTGTATTTATATTCTAGATTGATAACTTTTTTTCTCAAGTCCCGAACTTATGTTATACCCCAACGTTGTATTTAAATTCCAGATAGACATTTTTTCTACGTCCTGATTGAATTACTTCCATTGTTTCTCAAAAAATAGTGCGTTCAGATGTGCATCAGTGCTTGAAGATCAGAATAGAAATACTGTCATTTGAGTACAAAGTGTTTAGCCCGCAAGTGTCGCGGTCAATTTATTAAAATGGCTTGCAGTCGAGGTAATAAGTTTCATGATGGTCGTAAATACAGAACCCACGACTGCTGTTAATAAAATTAATTCATGTCTTTGAGTCTCATTCGCTGTTACACTTCCAATGTCATTAGCTTTAGTCGAACGCGTGGCTTGATTTACTCAATATTACTGCATTTTTTTTGCTGGATGAAAATTGCCCCTAAGTCCGACGTAAATTTTCAGTCCAGTCTTAAATAAAGTTTTGAGTTATTGTGACCGTCAATGCAAATCAAACTGAATTTATTACTGATATTTGCGCGCACAAAAACTGTAAGTTAACTCATTTGTTGCAGACTTGCGCAGCAAAAAGTGTCATCTCGACATTCCTTACATTTCTATGTCGTTTCTCCTGTGAACTAAATGTTACAAATACATAAAAGATCAACCAAAAATGTAACAGTGTATGCTGAAGATTGAATTTTAAAATGCACACTATGTGTGATATGAAGAATGTTTTCCAATTGTATGTAATTGTCTTCAGTGAAATTATTTATAACTTTTTAGACGCTTCCAATGTTTCACAAATAAGAATGAGTGCCATACTCTGTAATTAAAAATTTTAAATGAGTATACTTAATTAATATATTTTCTTGATTAATGTAAAAATTGTTTCTCGCAATAGGTCTTCCTAATTCTCTGCGAATAATATTCACTGCTACCGATATAAAATTTCAGGTCGATTGAACAGGTAGAAGTGCGTTAAATTTTGATTACAAGATTTGTAGCAGATAAACAAGAAGTGAATTTAAAAAGAAGTGTTGTAAAACGTAGGAAGAGAGATGTGGATTTTGTTTATTTCGTTAAGAAATATGTGTTATGAATAAATGGAATGAGTGAAATAAAAACAAGATTTGAGCAGATTTACAGTAGGTTTACCGTTTTCATGTATGTTCAATGCTCTTCAACAAAACGCAGGTTTTCTTATAACGTGAACATAAAAACTAGGGTTTTCCGCTAGTGTCTGATAAGTTGGTTTCTGCTGTAAACTACACGAATGACCATTAGGTTTCTAACAAAAGAGTAATTGTTTTCGCGATTTATTTGAGTTGTATTGGTTTTCTCGTTTTTCATGAAATAGGATTTTAAGCTCTTTAATTATAATAAAAAAGTTTAGATACGTTTGATAAATCTTCTGAAAATTGCTGTCAATGTGTATTTGAATGAAGTGAGCAGATAAAACCGGTTTTAAAGCATTAAATTATACTTAATTGCGCAAGGAATCTAAATCCAACATATGGATTATCACTCATGCTTGCTATTGATTCCAGCCATCATAAATCAGGCTATTAGAATTTTCAATTTTTTGGCATCAAAAGTTGGTATGTAGAATTCGTGACGTGTGAGAGAAAATTGACTTGGCATTTAAAAGGAAATAAAATTGTTTGATATTGAGATATGAAATAAATAAGATTTTAAGATAGAAATTCTATAAAAGGAATATAATTGAATTAATGCGGAATAATATATAATGCTTTTCTTATTGTTATTCTGTGTTAAATTTTTATAATGTTTTGTTATGATATAGATTATTCGATTGCCGTATGCCTCCACCCTTGCCTTTGACTATCACTTTTGTCGAGTAATTTCATTGATGTTGAAATTCTTTTTAAGGGGATTTCTGATATTGGGCGAAACCGTCAATTTGCTTAACTTTTTCTTCAACTATTAGATGCATTCCTTAATTCCATTATGAATGTTGAACTTTTTTCATGTAATGAGTTGTCATAGTTACTCGTGAGAAATAATAGTCATTAAATTATTATGGCTAAATTCTTTTGAAGTCATACATGAAATAATGTTGTCGAATTGTATTCAGGTTATTAGTAAAATTATTCGAGCTAGAAATACACTAACGAAATTCAATTTTGGGGGGATGCCTTTTCTAAGAATGTATAAGAAGGCTGGAAAAGAACGAACATCCTCAAATTAATTGCATGATTACCGTCGCACAACGCATTGTCGTAATGTTAGTACGTCGTTATTACGACAACTAACTATAACTAACGTTATAGTTAGTTATTACGGTACGTCGTAATGTCCGTGTCTCCGTGAAGTGTTCGATGTTTTGAAAGTATTTGTTGAACTGGATTTCCACAGCATTTTTCTCCGTCCCTCGAAGCTCAAGACGTGCTTTTGGTATCATTCTTTCTATCACCGTAGAGGTTGTGAGCAGGATAATTTTACAGGTGTTTACGATAAAAATATTTATCACTCGAATTATGGACAAATTTTTGGATTAGGGTATATTTGAACAGGAACTATTCTACGTCAGTGCTTGCTGGTTTGATCTTATTGATATTATTGGGCGCCTATATTAATAAATATAAACGTTTGATAGCATTGCTGATGTAATGTCTTTTTATCTTGTCACGAATCACTAGAAGCATAGCTCTTGAGATGCCTTATATCAAAGATCAATAATTATTCTTTCTCGTCGATGTTGTGGTTTGATCGATTTTGTGGTTGGTTTGAAAGCCATTTACATTTTTCTGTAGACGGTTTTGTTAGAAAAAGCACTTGGTTATATTTTTAGTTCGAAAAATATTCCGTTACTTTGATAACCTGAAATAAATGTTATATATACCGGCGTCACGGTTGAAATTTCATTGCAAATTAGCTGATTTTTTATTTATTATAATGTTTACTTAGAGTAAATCAATTTTTAGTCATTACGATAAACATTTCATGAATATCATATTTTCTTTATTGTAAGGTCGCACGCTTATCACATTAACCAGTCGCTGATGTCGATTTTCCCGAGTACGGTGACAACTCAAATTAGGCTCAAAATATCGATTAAATTACCGCTCGAGACAACAATGCAACATGGATATGGTAACGGCACGACCAGCATATTTCAGGCTGTTGAAGGTAATTAGGATATTTAAGTTGATTGAATAATATTAGCAATAGTTCCGACATGCCTAGAATAACTATAGAAGTTTCCAAATATTTCCTAACAATTTAAAAGGTTTAACTAATTTTTAGATGATGTCATCAAGAATCAGAAGGCTCCGGGTTTCTTCAGAAAGGCGTTGTTTTTTTTTTAAATATGCTGAAAATATTTTCAGCAAAAGAAATTCCAACATCTTCTGATAGTTCCCAGAGCACAATTGAATTCATTTTTTATAATAAATGTGTGAACTTGATTTTTCTTAGATTTAGCCGTCGGTCTATTTTGCGGATCTAATTAAAAATAGAATTTTTTAGATTAATGTGATGGTTTATAAAATACTGAAAAGTTTCAATGTTCTCTGATCGAGGTATTCAACCTTCGTCATGCAAGAAACTTGTTCGATGTGTCGGTGTCTAAAATATTTGTTTCTTTATCTCGATTGAAATATTTCAACCCTCCATGTCTGTCATGAAAAGAATACCTAAACTATGGGAACTTGAGCCATTAATGTTAATGCAGCTAATTTTATTTGATTTAAAAAAAATTATGAATGTATCCGGTAAATTTTCATGCCTCATCAATTTATTCAAATTCAAATTTATTTATTAACTCATCAATTTATTTACGACAAATTAATTTCTGATTACGCTTTCTTCAATCACTTAAATGAGTTGATTTATTATTTAGTAAATAGAATTACCAATCTATTCAGTCAGACGT